AAAGACTACCTGCCCTGTCACATTTGAATATCAGCTTGGCACTAAAAATGACTATTCTAAGTCTCTTTGATACGAAGCTGACATCGGCATTTCAGCTGTAACTCACAGCCTGCAGATGCACAGCTTTCAGGAAGCATATTATTTCAGGCTTGCTCCCTTGTCCTATTCAGACAGTGGTATGAAGTTCCTCTGGCTGGGGCAGAACTTTCCAACACTCTCTGGAAATATATCAAATGAGCTGGTTTTTCCCCAACTGTCACTTTTGCACTGGTTGATTTTGTGCATTTTTAAACAAGTTTTCTGTGTCTAAATGCAAAATTATGATGGATTATTCCAAGCCATACCTCTCTGGGCATGGAAGACTACTCCGGAGTTGCAGCTGTCACAACGGGCTTTGCCAGAAAAGGGTCAGAGTGGTTTTTCATAGTTAGGCTTTCAATGATTCCTCCTGAAGTCCATTCCATGCTTGCGTTGGAATGGGCTTCCTTTTTTCCCCTGCAACCACCAACCACATGCTGGGCATTTGATGCTATTTCAGACTTCTTTTTTTATAAGCTGACACAGTAGGTGCTTTTACTTTACCAAACTGAAAAACCCTCAATCAAGAAATATCCAATATGAGCAGGAGATACCTCAGGGGAAACCTATGCAGGGTAAATTGGTTACTGCTCAGAAAACTACTATAGTGGACCTGATTACCTAGTAATTAGCCAGAGCAACCTGCTCTTAGCCACCTGGAGAATATGTCCCCTGCTAGTCCCAGCTTTGAGCATGCCATTTGTGTTCAGTCCTGCATCAGGCATCAGTTTAATGCCTCACAGTTGGCTAAGTATGCCGACTGGCAGTAACATTTTGCAGATATGCTCTGTTCAGTCCAAACTGATGTCCAGCATTTCATGCTATTTGTATCTGCCCGTCTTCTCTTTTCTCTTGTAGAGGGATTAAAGTTATTCATTATAACCTGTGGGATTTATCGTCAGATCTTTCAGAATGTGAACACAGCTGCAAGTCAGATTTCTTATGTTGGTTTCTAACTGCAAGACTCGAGGGTTGTCCTTGCTTTCTCCTCTTGAAGGTTTAACTATACCCACCATTAAAAAAAGCCTAGCTGCTGATTGTATAAAGGCTTGGTGAGCAGTAAGAGTGTTGCTGCAAATGGCCAAGAAAGATTATTTCTTGTGCAGAGGGAAGTGTTGGTCATACCCACAGGTCACATTGGAGTGCTGCAAGTCCGGGAATGGAGCTGGCACTAAGGGATGGGCATGATTTCTCTGGCAGTTGTGTGTCCGTCAGGAATGAATCTATTGTAGGCACTAGGAAATCTTCAGTGGAGATCTTGGTGGAATCTGAAAGTAGGAAGCACTGGGAAGAGACAGATCGGTATGCAGGCTACTGGTTCAGCTTACCAAGATAGAGGCAAATACACAGCTGGGGGAAACCTGACAGTCTGGAACCTTGGGCTTTGTAGAGGGGGAAGGTGATGAAAATTGAGTCAACCTATTGTGAGACATTGAAAAGAGAACGTTTGACTCGATTGGGGATCACGGAGAGGCTGCAGATTCTGATTGAAGGGCAGGGCAAGAAGAGTCAGGAATCTGACTGCATTTGAGATGCACTGCGAACTCCAAGGTCTTGTACAGCTCTCTTGATGCTGTGATGTGCCAGATCATGTGGAGGAAAAACTGCTCTAACAACAGAAGTGAGGCTAGAGCTGAACCTACTTCCAGAGCAAGTTCTCTGTGACTCCTTCCACCCTGCCGAGGGCTTCTGCACCTTGCAGTTCCCACCCGGACCATGAGCAGAAGAATTATTACTCATTGTTATGCGTTGCCAGCAAGGAAATGCACATTACACGCTACCTACCTTGAGGGCAGTGTCACCAGAAACTTCACACTGCTATTACAACTGCTTATGTGCCGCTCTACGTAGCAGCAAACAGCAGGATGTGCCTGTGATACCTGCAGCCTTCATTTGTAGTCCTAGAAGCTTTAGATAAGCATCAAGAGCTAGATCCTTGGGCTGTGCAAATTGGCTCCATTTCACCAGTGAAGTCAGTAGAGCTGTTCTGTTAAAATACTTGAGAAAAATCTCACTTTACTGCTCCCTAGGGCTGTATTAGGTGAGCATCACACCATCTTTAATGTCTTTCTCCTCCCTCCACCCTGGTAAAACAAGAGAGTGTTATTATCTCCAATTTTTCTGATGGGAAGCTACAGTGCCAAGCTGGGTTTGGGCAGCTTGCAATGTGTCTGTTGTGAGTCTCATCAGACGCTATCCACGGCCTAAGGCACAGAAATCTCCCCGCAAATCTTATCTGGCTGTAGACCAGGCTCTGATCCTCGAAGACATTTAGGTGCCTAATTTCTACTGAGACATTTAGAAGCTTAATCTATTTAAAGAGGTGGTTCAAAGTTGCTACCTGAAATACCTCATTGGGTTCTTTATCGAAGCAGGGAGCTGAACCTGGAAGTTAGGATTAGCAGAGTAAACGCAACCCTCCCTCTTTGCTTTGTTACTAGAGATTTTGCTGAATCAAATGATGAGCCCCTCTGCAGCGCCAGCTTCCAAGCCTGATGGTGGTGGTGACTTCCCCTTATTTAGAAAGGACCTTTCTTTCCCCTTTTCAGAAACTGAAAGCAAAACCAGCACAGACAGGCAGCCAGCATTTCCACTACAAAGGCTTCCCCCTCCTCCTCCGATTTAAACCATCACCACAACTAAGCAACAGAAACAAGCAGATTGAAAAACTAAAAGCTGTGTGATGCTTGATGTCTTGTAATGTGTTAACAAGCCCCAAATTTACACTGTCAGTAAGAAACCCCAAGGAAAAGTGGAAGTCATTCTAACCAAGGGAGTGTCTCCCATCCTGCTGCTCTGGCTTTCACGTCTAATTTTGGCAAACAAAGTAAACATGGAAAACAGTGTTTGTGCAAAATGCTCTTGCAGAAAATACAGACTTATTTTGAGCCTCTTTTGAATTTGCGTCTTAGGTTCTGATTGCACAACAAAGGGAAAGTATTTTATTGAGATCAAGGCTGAAAAGGAATTGCTGTTTTCACTCAAAAGCGGTTTGACTCCATGGTTATCTTCTCATCTCCCATCAGTTTTGAATTCATCTGCCATTTGAGTGGTCAGATCCCTTGGGTTGCCTAAGAAATAATACAATAAGCTTTTAACATGAGCTGTTCTGCTCTAGAGGTGCCACTGTTCTGGAGCTGCAGGTCCATGGTGGGGTACCACAGGGCTGGTGGTGCCAAGTATGGCCGCACTGAGTGTGTTGAGAAGCACATCTCATACTTAGAGCAAGATAATTACTTGTCCTCTGCATTAATCTGAGTTTCCTGCTCTGTTTTTCCTGTGTGGAAGCATTCATTGCAGGTTTGCGGGTTAGGAAACAGGCACTTTATTGCCACTGCACGAACACGGTGCATGTGAAGGCACTTTGATTTCTGCACTCTTTGCTGCTATCATTCTTAGAGGCAATTGGAAAGGGAGAGAAACTGGAGGAGGTACAGAGGGACCCTCTTGTTCGCAGTGCCATGAATGAAACATCATAAAACATGCCTGCCAACTGAGAGAATCTATTATCAGGGAGCTGTCAGTCAGTGGCAGAAAAGTAAGGAGAGAGGAGAGAATAAACAGTTTAGAAAAGGGGCAGAAGTCACTTTATAAAACCCTTAGTTTAAATAATGTTTGCTGAACTATTTGGTTGGGTTTTTTTTCCTCAAGCTTAAAGAAAAAAAATATTGGTTCTTTTTCTTCCCTTTGATTCTCAGTTCTGCAGCATGTTCACACCTTCAGTTAAGGAAGGAAAGGAGAAGAGGCACCTGAAAGGATTGGTAGATGTTTGGGATCCTGAAGGCATAGAGGTTGTCATTACTCTCCAAAGTCAAACATGACTGCCCCCGAGCTAATGGACTGGTGGAGTTAAGTGGCTGGAAGGGAAGATAAATATTCAGGTCTTATCTTTAATACAAAAGTCTATGAACAAAGATGACATTTCCTGTGTGTTCCCTGCGCGTTCAGCTCTTCCCTGTATTAATGTAAATAGAAAAAGAGCTTGGATGTGCGAGAGAGCTTGACCTCACCACCTACCCTTCCTTTTTGTCAGCGCTTACTCCAGGTTCTGAAATTGCTTGGTTTGAGTATAGGGAGTGCAATAATACCTTTGGATATTAATCATCACAGGTGCATAGGAAATAAAAGGAGCAAAGGGACCAGAGTAAAAATGTAAACTAAGTTGGCAAACCTTTTGGCTTGCCTAAGTTTATCACATTGAACCTCCAGTGCTGTCCTGCATGTGATCTGCATGCAACTCTTACACTCCTTCCCATTGCTTTCATGCTTTCCTGCCTTTGCTAGGAAATTTAGCGGTGGGTCTGTACAATTCAGTTGTTTTGCTTTCAGTTGTGTTTTCAGCTCCCAGTCTGCCCATTGGCCACTTAAAGACCAGTCTGGCTGTTTGCATGTCGCATCCCTTCCCCAAAACCAACAGAGAATGCCTTTTTGTTTGGTTGGTTTCAACCAGAATCAGTCATTAGATTGCTGATGTAAGGGGAGGAATCAAGATAGATTCAGATGGGACAGAAAAAAAAGGGGGTAACGTTCTTTTTCTCTATTTTTTTTTAATGTTCTTCCTTAAAATGATGGCAATTTTCTCCAGATCCCAGGACAATCACTGAGTATTGGTAGGTTTGTTGCTGACTTGAAGACCTTGTGCAATTTACCTCCTGTTAACCCTTGCTCTCTCATCTTTCCCTAGCCTACGTAGGAAACTCCTCTGTCTGTCTGTACTACCTTTCTGCCTTTTCCTAACAGCTCTTCTTCCTTTGTTTTCCAGGAGGTGAAGCACCCCTCTTGAAGACACAGGAAGCTGAATAAAAGGCATCCTACAAAGGAAAAAGAGCAGAAAATACGGTGCAAAATGAAGAATTTAGCATTACTCTGTTATGGGACTGCTGTAGATGGTGTCTGTTTTACAGCTGTGGTAAAGGCTAAATCAGGTGGCTCTCATGGGCTGCTGGTTGCCTTTGCTTTATTCAGATTGCTGGATACAGAATACACCCTGAATCAACAGTGTCATCTGTAAAGCTCCAGGCAGTCTGGGAATGGACAAGCAACACAAACTCCTCCACACTTGCATCCTGAAACATCAGTGGCAGCAACGAGGTCAGTTTTTCACCTTGTTCATTTATTGGTGAGATTTTGGGTCTGGGGATTCTTCTGATAAGTTCCTGAAAAATGCAATAAAGCAGAAGGTGTCTGGGAGAGAAGGTGGACAGAGGTGATTCCTATTTCATTTTCTTATCCTATGATTGGGAAGGAATGAAGGAAATCTTGAAACAAAACATTGTGATTGCTTTTTCAGGTCTCTCTAAAGCTTCAGTTCTGTGTAGGAGATCATGAGGAGGCTAGATTGGTTCTTTTATTTAATCCAATCAAATTCATTTTGGCTCCTGATTTTGCAGTGCAGTGTGAAAAGATGACTCTGATACAAGTCTGTTATTACCTAATTGCTTTTCCATAAGGCTTTCACCTGATAATTCAGATATTGTTACAGCCACTGAAACCTGATAATTCTTCTATACTGAAATCTGCCTATATTTATTATTACCTATGCTATGGGAACAGTGTAAGGATCAGAGGGAGGTTGGGTCCTCCTTAATGACTACTACAGCGGTTACATAGTAGGAGATTTTGGGCAAGAGAAGGAAGGCACGAGGGAGTGTGTTGCAGAGGAAGAACATGAAGCCACTCAAACTTACACTGTCTGAAGGGACTCTGCTTCTTACTATGGTCCTGAAAACAACAGCTAGTGTTTCATACTAAGCACTATACAGTAAGCATGCTCAGTTTGGACTTTTAAAGGTCTCTTTACATAAGAATCTCTCCTAGGCTTTCCAGGCAAGCCAAATCCATTAGGGAAAACTTTGCTATCAAGGCAGTGCAAGACTGAAGTTTGCTACTTCAAGGTGCACTGTTGGGAAGGTTTAGAGAGATACAGAGCCATAGCTGGCCTGATCTTTTGGTGGTAGTTGTCCTGCTCTGAGCAATAGGATGGATTAGGTGATGTCTGGGGGTCTTTTCCAACTTTAGGTGACTTTACAAAATGCAACAGTGGTTGCATTTAGCAGAAGGTAAAAATAATATCATGCAAGAGACCACCTCACTGCCTAAAAGGGGAGATGTCAGTCTCCATCCGGATCCCGATCGCTTTCCCTCAGCTTCAGCGCAGCAGCTGACAGGCACCATGGGTGCCTGCAGCGGTGCGAGGAGAAGGAGAGATGGGCACTCGGGGAGCTCCTCTGGTGATACAGTTATTATATGCTCGGTTACCAATCACGGATTTCTCTGAATCCCATGGCTTATGAGTAATTTCCACTTGCACTTTTAGTCTAACAGCCAGCATCTCTTTATTCATGTCTCTGTGTCGCTTCTTTCCAAGAAGTGGTTAATCACCAGTGCTCTGGAAGATGGAGAGGATTCGTTCCACTGTGGCCTGTTGTGTGCCTTGCCTCCCTGCTGAGCTGCCATCCAGAAAACTATTAGGGCAAAATAGAAGTGCTTCAGAGAAGCTTTCTTACCCCTTCTCTGTAGGCCTGGGTACCTGAAAAGATGAGGGTTTCATCTTAAAATGACATCAGCGGAGGAAGGATGCTGTCAGGAGGGTATTGCAAGGTTAGAGAAATGACAACAGCAGGCTCTTTCTATATGGTGTCAGTGATCTCTGCAAGCTCTTATATCTCTCTTAGAAATCAAATGCAAAGCTGCTACAGCCCCTGTCTCTGTGTATGTAACCCTGACAGATCTCCCAAAGCAAACTTGTAATTTCTACCCTTCTTCCATAATATTCACCCCCGAAATGTCAGCCTTTTCCCTAGTACATAGTAAAGGTTTAGCAGCATACGGCTGGAGGGGATGCTTCATGTTACTGAGGCTTTAGCAAATTATACTACAGAATGTTAACTGCTATGCTATAAAGTATTATCATAATTAATTATAACTAAACTGCAGTTGTCAAATGAACAAAGTACATTTCATGATGCACTTTTCCTGCTCTTTTATTGCTTGTCCTCTTGCTTCTTAAGCTAAAAATAATCAGCTGTTTGCACTTGGGCATCTCATTATTAGAGTGAAATTTCCACTGCAGCAATGGAGTTGTAGGGAGGTTTGTGTGTGCCTGTATCATAAAGGAATGTAGTAATAAATATGAAATGATCAATGTAAAAAGCTCAAATGATATTAACTTTGAGGTCAGGGCAGCTTTCTTCTTTGGCCTTTATGCAGTAACTGAGACCAACTAAGTGTTAAAATGCTGGTAAGATGGGTTTGTACTATTTTATGTCTGCTTTTGTCAGAGGTAGATAAAAAGAAAATGAAACAAATTGTGAGAAGCTTGTGGGCAGCATGTAAGAAAGAACATTAATACATCCCTTGGGATACGAGACCTTGTGCAAGATAAAGGAGACAGGATCCTTCCAGAAAGTCTGTAGAATGACCTTCCCAAGGTCTCTGAGCATGATCTTCAGCTTCCAAATATCGGCAAAGCTTCACTGAAGAGGCTGGGGTTCATCTGATTTATTCAGTTAGAGCTCATCCAGCAATTGTTGTAAATAGCTGAGGAGAAAGTTATGCCTTGCTTTAGTTGATTTGGTGGAAATCATCAGGCTGTTAAGTCCCTTTCCATGGGTGTGATTGAGTTCATCTTGTTAAAAATGGCCTCATTAGCTTCTAAAGCAAAAATTGATTCTGAGGACTAATGTGACAGAACAGGAGGCTGTTGTGTGCAGAAATCTTCAAGCTAGGCACATGAAAACCTTCTTTTTGAGAGCATGACCCACATGAATGTACATACAACTAGCAGGCATGCACAAATAGCGGATGTGCTTTCACAAGTAGTTGCCTAAGCATGTAATATAAGTCTATGCAGCTATATGCTATTGTACACTTAGAATCATAGAATAGCTAGGGTTGGAAAGGACCTTAAGATCATCCAGTTCCAACCCCCTGCCATGGGCAGGGACACCTCACACTAAACCATCTCACCCAAGGCTTTGTCCACCCTGGTCTTGAACACTGCCAGGGATGGAGCATTCCCAACCTCCCTGGGCAACCCATTCCAGTGCCTCACCACCCTCACAGGGAAGAATTTCCTCCTTATATCCAATCTAAACTTCCCCTGTTTAAGTTTGAACCTGTTACCCATTGTCCTATCACTACGGTCCCTAATGAAGAGTCCCTCCCCAGCATCCCTATAGGCCCCCTTCAGATACTGGAAGACTTGACTAGAAATACCCAGCATGTGGCAGAAGGAATGGAGATCATGACAAAAAATGCCAGTAAGGTTCACTGGAGCTACAGCCAGAGCGAGATTTATCTGTGCAGGCTGCAAACCTGATCCTAAGTCTCAGGGCCTGCAAAACTTGCTCCAGAACTTAGCCTGGTCCAGAGATGAGCCAGGGGCTGGTGACTGATGCTTTGCCCCTGTTTAGGAAGGAACAAAGAGACTTGGCTGCTTCTCTGTTGTTTAATGTCACTATGTGGGTGCTGTAATTTTCTGCAAGGCAGATGCTCCTGTCAGTTGTGTTGTTTCCGTGCCAAGATGTGTGTTACCTCTGGGAGCCCTTAGGGTTCCGTTTACCGGAGACAATGAATTTAATTAACAGCCTTTTGTAGGTGTGCTGGTGGAGGTTCATGTAACAAATGTGTTTGGAAGCATGATGCTTGATTTCAACAGTCATTGGTAAGCAACAGGCAGGTTAACACTCTTGGCCATGTCTTTCACTGGTATTAATCAGAAAACAGTCAAATTGTGCCAATTACCCTATATAAGGACCCAGCTCCTTTTATCTTTTCTTTCATATTTGCTCTCTCTCCACTAGGTGTAGAAAACTCTGGTTTTTCATGCATACCAAAGTCTAAAATCTCGAACCACATCCTGTTGGCATGATTGCACATCGATTGTTCATCATCTTTCATGTAATAGAATTAGGTCTCATTAAAATAATCTCTTCCCCTGAGAGCCAGGCTTGTTCAGTCTCCTTCTGTCTCCCCAGTTTACCCCTTGTTCTAATTAAAGAAATCTGCCATTTGCATCCATGCCCTCCTCCTTGGACGACAAGGAGGAGAAAGATGGGAAGGATCGGTTACTGTGAATATTGCTTGCCGCTTTAAATAGGAAACCAGCACCAGCTATTTGAATACCCTCTTGTTTTAGCAACGATGGTTCTGTTGGGTTATAATTATCCACGGCCTTCCATGCCACTCCACCTCGGGGTCACGGATCATAGCTTTGGAGCAAGACAACCTATTCAGCAGAAAGGTCAATCAGCTAGTAGAAGCCATTTCCCTTTCTGTTCAGCTGAAGGTAAAAGAAAGTGCTCGAGTTGGTCTGCATTTCAATGAACTCCATGCTGAGAGCTGTTTCAGCAATTGCTACTGTGCTACAGAAAACTGCCTTTTTCGTTCTCAGAGCTGCTGAGGTGCATATGGGAAAAACCAGAGAATAAATTAAGGACTTTGCAAAAAACTTCTAGTGACAAAAGGGAAAAACTTCAGGCAAACCTTTGCTTTGGGGGTGTTGGGGAGCTGCTTGGGTATTGCGTTAGGGCAGATTTGAATTCACCTTCATTCCTCTGAGCGACTAAAATGAGGGGGGAAAAAAGAAGCAATATTGCGTTTTTCTGTTTCACCATAATTATCCCTGAAGAAATATGCTTATCGCATGGCATGGACTCAATTCTCTCATTCTTCTACCACTTCTATTTTGGGCTGCCTGCGCTCAGGCTCACAGCCTGAACAAGAGGATTATGGTATTATTCAGAGAACAGCAGCAGCTGACTGGGACTTGGTAGCTTTTAACCATTGACCAACTTGACTGGAGAGTTGCGGCTGCCTGCTTGTCCCAGGCTAAACTGGAAAGGGTCCTAGTTAGAGCCAAGGAAGTTGTGGAGGAGTTTGAGTGGTTTTTAGCCTGTCACGTGGGCTTCTGCTGTGAAAAGGGTTCAAACGTGAGCGGAACTGAGTGACTCCAATAGAAGAGTTTTAATGGAAGGGTAGAAGGCCTGAAGGAAATCCAAATGTGTCAGAGATCAAGAAACCAGTGGGCAGGGCACGTAGTCAATGTGGAAGTTAACCCCATAGAGGAGAGCTGCGTCTTGAGAGAAGTA